AGAGAGGGAACACAAGCAGGGGGAGTGGGAGAGGGAGAAGCAGGCCTCCCGTGAGCAGGGAGCCGGATGCAGGGCTCTATCCCAGGACCCTGGGATCATGACCTGGAGTCGAAGGCAGACTCTTAACAATTGAGCCACCCAGGCGCCCCTAAACTGTTCTTTTTTTAATTTTAATTTTAATTTTTGAGTATGGTAATTCCCTACCATTAGTAGAATTTTTGTTTTAGTTTTTTTCATCTTTAGTGAAGCATTGTTTAGGTCTGTATTTGTGGTCAGCCACAGGTAGATATGGAGGGAACTGAGAAGCAGATTGGTTACCAATTGGGGGACATTTCTTCCCTCTTTTTTCTCACCCCCCCTTCTTTCTGAAAGTGGGTCAAGGTCAAGGCATTTTCTACCTCCCTAAAGTAAGAGTGGTACTGATATTCTAGGCTTTGTTTTCCTGGGGTGGAATCACATTGCTTTTGAGAAGTTGACACAATGATGTTCTGTTCTTTCTTGAGGCAGAGCACTAAAAGCCCCTGGTCATCTTTCCCTTTGGAATACACTCCCTTCTGTGTGGCAGTCAGGACTGAGGCAAGGTACCACCTGTATCAGCTCTGTTCTCCTGTTGCTTGTTTAGTTTATTTTGGCTTGGTTCTCCCACCCAATATCTCTCTATGTAGCCTGCATTAGTTTTAGGCCATTTCTACCCTCCTAACTTGGTGTTACCACTAATTCCTGTCTTGTGTAAGGATTCAAGTAATTTCAGTTTCCCCGAGACTCTGATCAATGATAATTGCTGATTGTAATATATATATATGATACATATATATATATATATAGCAGGTTTATATCAATGGCTTTACGTTTTATGGCCGAGTCTCTGTTTAACATATGTATTTTAGACTTTTGAAGATATTTTATACTGTTTTCCAGTCTTTGGGATGTAATCTGTTAAGTAGCTTTTGAGATCAGTTTAGTGAGTTTTATTTTTAAAAAGTCAGAGTGCATGAGATTAGCATAGGCTAGTATTGTTTCATAAAAATGTGTTACTTGTATGTGTCTTAGTGAGTATTTCATTCTCTGGGGTATGATGGAAAATGTATCTTACTGTGATTTGCAGTCAAAATGTTTGAAAACCACTGCTTTATAGGGAATTTGGACTCAGTAATAAAAGGCAGAATTCTTTTCTTTCTTTTTTTTTTTTTTTTAAAGATTTTATTTATTTATTTATTTGAGAGAGAGAGAGAAACAGCATGAGAGGGGGGAGGGTCAGAGGGAGAAGCAGGCTCCCCGCCGAGCCGGGAGCCCGATGCGGGACTCGATCCCAGGACTCCGGGATCATGACCTGAGCCGAAGGCAGTCGCTTAACCAACTGAGCCACCCAGGCGCCCGGCAGATTTTTCTTAAGATTTTATTTTAAGTAATCTCTACACCCAACGGGAGGCTGGAACTAACAATCCCAAGATCAACAGTCACACACACTACCAACTGAGCCAGCCAGGTGCATTTCTTAATCTTTTAGAGTATACAAAGCATTTGAAACATTTACTTGTTTCTTTTTTTAAAAGATTTTATTTATTTATTTGAGCGAGAGAGTGAGCTAGAGAGCAGGAGTGGTGGTGGGCGGGGGTGGGGGAGGAGGAAGGGCAGAGGGAGAAGATGACTCCCCACCGAGCAGGGAGCCCCATGCGACTCCCAGGACCCTGGGATCATGACCTGAGCTGAAGGCAGATGCTTAACCGTCTGAGCCACCCAGGCGCCCTATTTACTTGTTTCTTAAGCACTTATGCAGAGCTTTGTTTCTGAAGAATTTTTGAATTATTTCTGTTGACTGATACATAAATAATCCCAGGGTAGATTTGTTTCATCTGTATTTCAGATGAATTTCCTAGGGTCCGGAAGATGAGTAGCCTGCCTAGGTCTCAACCAAAAATCAGAGGCAGAGTTTAGATTTCTGTTTTAGAGACCTTGGATTTTTTCTTTTTTAATAAACATATCTCAGCTTCTTTATTTAACTTGTTCAGCTACTTAATGCATAATTTGCTGGATGATATTGAGTGTACTGTAGAAGAAGAATGCAGTTAATCAGACTTCAGTTCTCAGGATTTGTTTATTTGGCTAAAAACAGAAGGAGAATTGTTCTCAGGATGGTCTAGATCATAGAGATTGCTATTGTCTTAAATCTGCTTTACTTTTGCTGTGAGTTCTTTTGTTACCAATTTACAGAACTTTTCAGGGCTTCCTGTGTTCTTTGCTTTGGTTCATTGCAAAGGTTTGTATTGCCTGCATTCTTTTTAACCTTAAGGCTGACTATGGGATAACATATTAACATTTTCTGCTATTATTAGCTGTTAACATAATAACATTGGCAGGGTTAGTGGATTTCTAAAAAACAGAATTTCTGCTAGACCAAGGTAATTTTCTGTAAGCAGTCTAATGTGCTTTGGTGGCCATAGGGAACCATGCACACAGTAGAATCCTGTTGTTGCCAAGAGTAGAGGAAGAAAAGGGTCTGACTAGAACTACATATTTCATATTTATTAATAATAATTATTAGACCAATCCTTGGGTGTCTGAGATCATTTTGTTTTGTTATGAACTCTTTATCCACAGCCAAGATGCCTTATTTATGATTTGTGGAAAATACGATTTGAAGGGCCTACCCTTGGTTGCTGATAGTTAAATGTCATTATCTCTTATTATTTATGGGGCTAAATTAGTAATTTTTCTAATTTGAAAGGAAAGGGTATAAATTTTGACTGTCTACCAGGTAAAGATAAAAAAAAAAGAACAAATATTCATGTTCACATTCAAGAATTTGGGGTGACCACTCAGTATTGCATTTCTAGTCTCTTAATTAATAGCATAAGAAAGCCTGGGAAGAAATCTCCTTGAGACCCATAATTACCTTAAAAATAGCTTCCTTTTGGGACACCTGGGTGGCTCAGTCAGTTAAGTGGCTGCCTTCGGCTCAGGTCAGGATCCCAGGGTCCTTGGGCTCAAGCCCCGCATCGGGCTCCCTGCTCAGTGGAGAGTCTGCTTCTTCCTCTCCCTCTGCCTGCTGCTCTGCCTACTCGTGCTCTTTCTCTATTTCTCTGTCAAATAAATAAATAAAATCTTAAAAAAAAAAAGCTTCCTTTTGGTAAGAGCCGTGCCTTTCACTCCACTGTCATGCAAATTGCATTTAAAGGAGGAACATTGCATTGGACACTATATTGGCCCCATACTGGCAAATTTTTATTATGATTACTCTAAATATACTTTGACATAAAGCTAGGTAGTAATTCTTATCCTTCTATGCTGAAGCTCCCAGTAGCTCTTAATCAACTACAAGATCAAAACTAAGTTTACAAATAATTCAGTAATAACTGTGGTAGGGTCAGTGGATTTTTAAAAAAAAATTAACATGCTGAACCAAGATTGTTTTCTTTAAGCAGTCTAATATATATTTTTAATTGATGAATAGTTGACATACAATGTTAAATTAGTTTCAGGTGTACAACATAATGATTTGACAATTTGACACATTACCACAATTTGATACACAGTGCTCACCAGGATAAGGGTAGTTGCCATCTACCACCATACAAATTTATTACAGTATTAGCAGTCTGATGTTTTGATGGCTCTAGGGAATCATGTAGGTAGTTCAGTTTAGTTATATCAGTTGTTGCCATGATTTATATCTTTATGAATAAGTATACAGTTGTAAACCACACCATAAAACAAAATTCAAAATAACATTCATATTATTTGGTAGGGATGTCGTTTTGCTGAAATGCGGTACTTAATGTTGAACTTAATAGTGGAAAGATTTAGCCTTGGATTCAATAATATATTTCCTCTGGGGTTTCTACATTTTAACTTTAGTTAATACTATGCAGAGAATATCATACAAGGTATGTATTTAAAATGTCAAGACATTGTTAAGCAGCATGTGATAATGGGATCTCACATGTAACCAAAACTGAATAAAAGTCCTTGAATGCCAGTTTTAATGTGGTATTGATAGGCGTATTGTCAGAGTTAGAGTTGCCTTGTTCAAATGAAGATAAGATTTGTGTTGCAAATGAGAACACACAGAATGGGAGGAAGTTTGTGCAAATCAGATATCTGATAAGGGGCTTGTATCTAGAATATATAAAGAACTCTTACAACTCAATAATAAAAAAGATAACTCAATTTAAAAAATGGGCCAGTGATCTGAATAAGTATTTCTCCTAAAAAGATGTACAAATGGTCTATAAACACATGAAGAGATGCTCAATATCATTAGCCATCAGGTAATGCAACTCAAAACCACAATGAGTTACCATTCACACCTACTAGGAGGGCTATAATAATGTGTTGGTGGGAACGTAGAGAAATCCACTGCTTGTGGGATTATGAAATGGTGCAGAAAACAGCCTGGTAATTCCTCAAGAGGTTAAACATAGAGTTACCATATGATCTAGCAATTCCACATCTAGGTGTATATCCAAAAGAGTAAGAACATATGTCTACTCAAAAACTTGTACATAAATGTTCATAGCAGCATTATTCATAATAGCCAAATTGTAGAAATAATCCAATGTCCATTAAGTGGTACATGGATAAATAAAATGTATATCCATACAATAGAATATTATTGGCAATAAAAAGAAATTAAGTACCGATTCATGCTACAAGAGGGCTGGACCTTGGGAGCATTATGCTAAGTGATAGCAGTCAAGCACAAAAGATCACATGTATAATTCCATTTATATGAAATGTTTAGAATAGGCAAATCCATAAGAGACAGGAATTAGTGGTTCCCTAGGCCTGGTTGGGGTGGGGGTTGGGAAGAAATGGGGAGTGATTGCTGATAGGTACAGGGTTTCTTTTTTGGGGTGATGAAATTGTTGTAAAATTGATTGTGGTTGTGGTTGCACAACTCTGTGGATATACTAAAAACAATGTAACTGTACTCTTTGAGTGTACTGTATGGTATATGAATTATATCTCATTGAAACTGTTATTTAAAAATTGCATTGCAGTTTTTGAAACCTGTTAAATGATAATGGGAATTGAGGATAGAAACAAATTTAATTGCATATTTGCCATCACACTTCCGGCTGATGTACATAGCGAGTTGCTGTGTTAAAGGTGAGATTCACACAGTACACTTGATAAGGTACTGCCTGCCTGTGCTACTCTATCCTACCTACTAGTCTCTCTTTAGTTTAGCGCACATACAAACCACAAACATGGGCAACAGATTTGGGCAGAACTCAGTTATAATATGGATACCTATTTGTTCCAGAAAATGCTTGTGTTATTTTTTTGAAAAATTATCACTGAAATGAAGACACTAAAATAAAAAGATATAAGATATCATAGATAACCATGGACCCTTGAGAAATGGTGATCTAGAGGTGGCTCTTAAACTATAAGAGAGGTGGCAGCTTCCTTTTTTTTTTTTTTAAGATTTTATTTATTTATTTGACAGAGACACAGCTAGAGAGGGAACACAAGCAGGGGGAGTGAGAGAGGGAGAAGCAGGCTTCCCGCTGAGCAGGGAGCCTGATGCGGGGCTCGATCCCAGGACCCTGGGATCCTGACCTGAGCCGAAGGCAGACGCTTAACGACTGAGCCACCCAGGCGCCCCGGCAGCTTCCTTCTTTAAATTGTTATTACAGCTTCGCAAAAGTATCTAAGATCTGGTATATGATTTTTCCCTTGTTCAGTGCACATATTCATAAACTTCATTTTTTTTTTTCATTTTTCATTAGGTAAGGATAATGAAAACGCAGGGAGCATCATTGGTTTCTAAGAAACCTAACGAATATAAAGGGCAGCAAATAGTTGTTTAGTTTCTTAGAGATTTTACATTCCTGGAAACTCAGAGTTTGAGGAGCCTTAAGAATAACCTAAACAAATATTTGGTTATTTCTTGGCTTCTTGAGATGAACTGGAATTGGGGAGAAGGAATTCTTAAACCCTGGTGTTTCAAGGTCAGACGTAGATAGATGTAAGTAGATAGATGTAATCACTATTCATGCCAACCTGCTCTGTGGGTGGGAGTCCTGGTTCTGCAACTTAATAACTTGAGCAAGTGATGCACTGAACCTTGGGTCCTTCCTCTGTGGAAAAAAGGGATGAATAAACAACATTGAACTATTATGTACAGAGCTTGAATAAGAAAAACGTTATGGTAAGGGAAAAGTCAGAGATTTATGATACTTGATTTTATGTGGGAAACTTAAAGGACACTTTTTTTTTTTTTTTTAAGATTTTATTTATCCATTTGACAGAGAGAGAGACAGCAAGAGAGGCAACACAAGCAGGGGGAGTGGGAGAGGGAGAAGCCGGCTTCCCACAGAGCAGGGAGCCCAATGTGGGGCTCGATCCCAGGACCCTGGGATCATGACCTGAGCCGAAGGCAGACGCTTAAGGACTGAGCCACCCAGGTGCCCCAAAAGGACACTTTCATTTACATCTTGTGAATTGTTATTTTTTTATGATGAAAGTGAGGATTTCTGGAAACTAGCAAGGGGGAGAGGAAGGAACCAACAGGACAATAAACATTTATTCAGGAACTTAAAAATGCCTTTTTTGTAGAGTAAGCCTGCCTTGTTCTAACTTTCCAGTCACTTTGGTATTAATTGAAAACTCCCATCCTGGGTATATTTTACACTCTGTAATTACTTTGTATACGGTAGTGCTCCCAATTTTAGCAACAATTGTACAAAATACAGTGGACTCTTTTGTCAAAAGTCTGAAAAAACTAAACGATAAGAAAGTAAGAATTTTAATTATGGGGGGAGAATAGCTACATCAGGGTCCCAAGGGTACTACTTTTGGGAAACACTGTTCAGATTTTGACTGTATAACTACTTTTAGAAAGATGAGGAAATTGAGAAAAGAAAAATAAGTCATACCAGCCTGCCACCTAATATAGTTACTATCATAGTTGTATTAATTTCCTTTTACTTTTTTCTGTTCATATCTTAATTAGTTTTAATACTAACAAGTATATAATTTTGTATTTTGTTTTTGTAATTTAACATGTCATTGGCACTTCTTGTTGCGTTATTTTTATAACTATATTTTTAAGTGACAATGCCATAACCTAATTAAACATTCCCTAAGTGTTGGGTATATATGTGTATTTATATCTTGCTTGCAGTTGTTTATTATTATAGATGCTAACATGAAGTTCTTTGGGCATATAATTTTTCTATTTTTAAGACCTTTTTTTTTTTTTTTAAAGATTTATTTATTTGACAGAGAGAGACACAGAGAGGGGGAACACAAGCAGGGGGAGTGGGAGAGGGAGAAGCAGGCTTCCCGCAGAGCGGAGAGCCCGATGCGGGGCTCGATCCCAGGACCCCGGGATCATGACCTGAGCCGAAGGCAGACGCTTAACGACTGAGCCACCCAGGCGCCCCAAGACCTTTTCTTAAAATAGATTATTAGAAGTAGGAATTCTATGAAGTACAACTTTTAATGGATTTTTTTTTTTTTTTAAGATTTTATTTATTTATTTGACAGAGACAGACACAGTGAGAGCAGGAACGTAAGCAGGGGGAGTGGGAGAGGGAGAAGCAGGCTTCCCGCAGAGCAGGGAGCCCGATGCGGGGCTCGATCCCAGGACCCTGGAACCATGACCCAAGCCGAAGGCAGACGCTTAACGACTGAGCCACCCAGGTGCCCCCTTTTAATGGATTTTGACATCTGTTGGGCTTGTTCTATTTTAAAACAAGTGTTTTGGGCTGAATTCTTTATTTGCTTGCTTGTTGTGATTTTCAGATATGTGGAGAAGTGCCTTTGTTTATTTAGCTACATTTTTCTACTACTCTAATTCTCTCTTTCTCTCATCCTTTTTTAGGCTAAATTGATTACCCACCCAGCACAGCATCTTACAGGAAAAGCATAGCATTTCCTAGAGGAATATGAGCATAACAGGAAGGTGTCATTGACTCTGAATTAAATTTTTAACCTGTCCCTGAACAGCTACAGGATTTGGAAGCTGAATCAATGTTATCAGATGAGTTAGAATCCAAACCAGAGGTGAGCCCAGGCAGTGCTATCTATCTATCTATTTATTTATTTATATTTTTTTGTGGGCTATCTTCCGAGGTTTGTCTTTAGTTCAGGAAGTCAGTAAACTTCTGGAATGAGCCAGATAGTAAATATTTTACGTTTTGTGGGCCATATGGTTTTGGTCGTAACTACTAGTTTATTACTTTTTCTGTCACTAAGTACTTTTTCAAAGATTTAAAAACTTTTTTTTACCTATAGCCTTTTATGTTTATTTAAGTAAGTATAAGTTTTTATACATCTAGGTAATTACATAATGACAAAAATTTTATATATATATGACATATATGTGGATATGTATATACATATATAAATATTTACTACCACAACCATTTTTCAGTTAATTTTGTATGTATCTGAAAGTGTTTTCTTTCTAAATGCGATTAGAGGATTTAAATATTATTTATTTATTATTTATTTTATTTTCATTTATTTTTTTAAGTAGGCTCCATGCCTAGTGTGGAGCCCAACATGGGGCTTGAACTCATGACCCTGAGATTAAGACCTGAGCTGAGATCAAGAATTGGAGGCTTACCTCGCTGAGCCACCCAGGCACCCCTAAACATTTTTTTATTTTTATTCATTTCTCTTCCTTTAATTTTAGTACATCTGTGTCACATAGTGGAAAGGTCAATGAATTTGGAATCAGGTTAAGTTTGAAGATTTACTTCCTGTACTAGTCATGTGACCTTAGATAAGTCATTTGATGTCTTCAACTTGATTCCTTATCTTTATTTATTTTTTATATTCCTTATCTTTAAAATACATGTTCAATTTTACTGGGTTAAGGTGAGGATTAAATGAGCCAGTATAATACAGCTTTTCTTTAGAACAGAGCACTTGATAAAAATAACTTTAAATGTTATTTTGTAGTTAATTTAGTTTTTCTGTGAATGTGGTTGAGACTAAGAAGCAATAAAGACTTAATTACGCTATGAACTTTTGGTAAATTCAGAGGTTTAGATTCATTCCTAACAACTTGTATTTTTCAATATTGTCTCTTCCTCCTCTCCCTGCCCAACCCCACCCAGCTCCTGGTACAGTTTGTTCAGAATACGTCCATCCCATTGGGACAGGGGCTAGTAGAATCAGAAGCTAAAGACATTACTTGCTTATCCCTCCTTCCGGTGACTGAGGCCTCAGAATGCAGTCGGCTAATGTTACCAGGTAAAAATTAAGATTACAAGAAATAAGATAAGCAAGTTTTAAGAGCTTAGCCTCCTCTATCATACTGGTGGGATGGGATAAATGACTTTATAACTGACTCATAGAAACTGTAAATCTAGGAATCATGAAGAATAAGCAACCATAGGAGTTAACAAGTGCATTGGTAATTTAAGCCATAGTAATGGATAGGATCATTCATGAAATGTGAGAGTGAGAAGAAAAGACCAATGTGGAGCTCCCTATTCAAGGTACAGGGTAAAGCAGGAGAGCCTATGAAGGAGGGAAGAAGGAAAGGCTAGAGCAGTAAGAGAAATATTGGTACAGAGTGCAGGCATGAAACTCAAGAGAATAGTCACTGTGTCAGATGCTTCTAAGAGGCCCATGAGATAGGGACTGTCCCAATGAGATAGGGCCAACAAGGCCATTGTTGACGTTGGCAGGACCTGTTCCATGGAAGGTAATGGAAAGCCAGGTTGTAGAGGGTTGAGGTATCAGTGCAAGGTAAGTGTAGTTGAGGAAGTAACCACACTTTCTCAAGGCTCTCCTGCTATGGGAAGGAAAAAGAGAAGGACATAAAGTAGATGGCAGAATTCTTTTTTAAGATCTGAAATATTTGAGGATGGTTTTATGCTAAGAGGAAAGAGCCAGTTGGAGAGGTGCAAACAGAAAGAGTGGTTAATTAGTGGGGAGGCTCCAGGAGAGGTAGGAGGAACTAGAATGCTGATCATGAGTTGTGACATTAACTTTGGATAGGGAGAAGGAGATCCTATCCCTTGACTGTTAGCAAGGAGAACGTTATTTTTGGGTGCAGTAAGTTCTTTATTTTCTGGAAATTGGAATATTTAAAATTTGGAATACTGATGTTAAATCAGGGGAGGGGAGGGTCACCACCTATTGGTGATTGGTGACAGCTTATTATAAAGTCTTCTAGTTACTGTTCTCTAGTGATGTCCTGTTTCTTTGATTTTTTTTGAAGTGACTTTAAAATTTTTTTCAATGTTTAAAGATTCAAGAAGGACAGATACATTCAACCAACCAGTGTTGACTTAAGGTTTCCCTGTCTAGTTCCTAGCTTTCGCACATCTTCTGTCGTTCAACTCCTACTATTTTTCTACTGGTATGTTGGAGTTTTTCCAAATCCTTATGGATTTTCAATATGTGTACATTTCCATGTGCTAATGAATTTTGATCTTCATTGGGCTTAAATTTTTCTCTCCTGATTTTAATTTGTTTAATAAATATTTTAACAATATTGAAGTGAAAAGAAGAACAAAATCATTAATCTTCTTTTCTACATTAACTTTAGTTTTAATTTTGATTAAAAATATTTTATTTTATTTTTAAAAAGTTTTTATTTATTCATTTAAGTAATCGCTACACCCACTGTGGGGCTCAAACTCACAACCTCAAGATCAAGAGTCTCATGCTCTTTTGATCGAGCCTGCCAGGTTAAAAATTAAAATATTTTAGATAACCAATATCAATAATAATAAGTGAAAACCCATGTACTCACCTCCCAGCTCATGAAACATAATATTACAAACACAAATGTATCTGCACGTACCTCCCTAATTTTATTCCCCTCCCTCTTAAATATGTGTGTATCATTCCATGCATGGCTGGTATGTTTTCTTTTTAGTTGGGATTTGTGATAGATACAGAAAAGTATAAAACCCTGTGCTTATACATTTCGAAGAATTATTATAAAGGAGATACCCACCACCCAGTCAAGAAGTAGAACCTTACCAGCTCCCAAACCCCCATGGTTTCCTCCCTGATAAAGACAACCTCTGTTCTTCCTAGGTCACCACTACCCTCAATTATTTGACCCATATTTGTTTCCCAAGTTTAACCACTGAGATCTAAGCAATGCAGTTTAATCTTAGGTGTTTTTAGACCTTGGAATCATATGAATGTATATTGTTGTACCTTTCTTACGTTATTCTATAGTTGTGAGATTCATCCTTGTGTGTATAAGCTGTGGTTGGTTTCATTGCTGTATAGAGTTCTGTTATATGAGTGTAACCACAGCTTCTTTATCCATGACACTGTTGATGAATATTTAGTTATTTTCCAGTGTTTTGCTATGACAAACAGTACTGCTATGAACTTCATTAAAAACTTTTTGTGTATGATAAAATATACATAACTAAAGATTTGCCATTTAAACCAGTTAACCATTTTAATCACATAAACTTACAATTTAACCAGTTCTGTGACATTAAGTACATTCATATTGTACTATTTCATTAGACTTTGAAATGACAGTACTGTCTATCCTTAGGCTTCCACTTTCATTCCTATAATATCTGTTAACTTCCTTAAAAAAAGGAAAAAAAATTATCTGCCTTTTATAAAGATGACTGAAACCCCTGAAAACATTGAGTGCTTTAGCACTATAGTGCAATTCCTTGTTTTGCAACCAAAACCTTTGGAAAGTCATTCCTTTCCTTAGAATAAAGTCCTAGAGAGCAAGTCTTCTGAATTATTTCTTTACATTTCAGTGTAAACCCGGAAGTATAATGAAACATATTTATGATTCTATAAAATTTCAGTGATTTCTCAGGCTGTGGTTTTTTTCCCCCTAATGACTCAACAGAACTGTCACATACATGCTATAAAAATTAAAGGGAGGGATCTCTTCCCAAGAAAAATAATTTAAAATTTAGATCCTATGTTAGTATTCATTGTATAACTATATTTTTTGAGGGAAAAGTACTGATTTCTGGCCTCGAAAGGACAAAGGCCTGTGATGTCCAAATGTGGATGGTTGGTTGGTTGGTACATCCAAATGTCAAACGAGTCTGTCCCTCACATTTTGGCTGACTCCTTTTAAAACTTAAAGTTATCTCTCTGTTCTCTTCTGAGGGAAATTCTGTATTTGTAAAATAAAAAGGCTGCTGCTCCTAGAAGGGATGTGATAGGGGCGTTCGGTGCCGTGTATCAGAATGGTGAGCCCCGTGGAGAGAGGTGCCACATAAAGCCGTGGTCTTTTCCCTTTGCTAGATGATACTCCAAGTCATACAAACTCCTCCAAGGAGGTCCCTTCCTCGGCTGTGTTGAGAAGCCTTCAGGTGAATGTGGGCCCAGACGGAGAGGAGACGAGGGCTCAGACTGCACAGAAGTCCCCGGAGTTTTTGTCCACTCCAGAGTCTCCCAGCTTGTTGCAAGATCTACAGCCAAGTGATAGCACTTCTTTTATTCTTCTTAACCTAACGAGAGCAGGTATTCTTTATCTTTTTCTGAACTCTGCTCATGCTTAAGAAAAAAACTGGGCGGCGGGGCATATTTAACCCAGTCATACTTAAAATGGAAAGAAGCCTTATTATTTTATTATTTTAGAGAATTGGTATAGTCTGGTGATCAGTTGAATGTGTAGGGGGAGAAGGCAGACTTCAGGAAGAAGTTTCTTGTTTGGGAAATTAGGTTGTGCCATTCAGCAAGATAGTGAGCCCAAGAACAGGGCTGGGCGGGGAGGATGATTAGTTCCAGTTTGTGCTTGTTGATGTTGGGATTTCAGAGGGACATTCATGAGGAGGTGTTCTTTAGAGAGTTAGAAACAGGAATCCAGAGTTCTAGAAATGTCTGTGTGAAATAAGTTGTTTTGGTGCTTATCAGCATTCAGGAAATGTATGAAACCGTGAACATGGATTCTTTGATTCAGGAGCATAAACAGAAAAGAAGGCAAATCTGGGACCCTGGAAAAAACACATTTAAGAGGGGAATAACAGAGGAGTGGGGAGGAGCTGCCAGAGAGGGATAAAGAAAACAGAAGGAGAGTGCTATGCGAGAAGCCAAGAGAGGGAAAATGTCTTAAAGAAAAAAAAGTAGTAAATCATGCCAATACCACAGGAAGGGCTAATGAGGTGAGGACTGGGGAGTGTATGTCTAATGACCCGAGCAAGAGCAGTTGTTACTGAGGTAGTAGAGGTGGAGGCCGGGTTCTAACCATGGTGGGGAGTGGATGACAGGTGAGAAAGTGGATACCCAAGTTAGAAGTTACGCTTGCAGGAAACTTGATTGTCAGACAGTAAATAGCTAGAGAAGTACTTGGGATTTTCTCTTCTTTTTAAAAATAAAGATGGGCGAGACAGATTTAAAGGCTCTAAGGGGAGGTTGTAAGGTGGCCAGTAGAGAGGAATGGCTTGCAAATGGCGGAGAGAGGGTCAGGATACTAGCTTGCTTACCCTGGGGGGAGAAGGATAGGGTCAGGATACTAGCTTGCTTACCCTGGGGGGACAGCTTTGCCTTTGAAACCAGAGGGGGTAAGAAAGAGAAGCCTGTCCTCCGGGAGTGGAAAGGTGATAGATAACCTAGTGTAGTAGGAGAACAGAAGCTTGAGGTGAGAGGTGAAAATCTGGAATAGCTGATTCAGGCCATGAAGTATCTGAGCCAGGGCCGATAGAAGGGCAACTTGATGGGTAGCTTTCACATATCCTCTCGTTTCTTCCAGGTCTGGGCTCTTCAGCTGAGCACTTAGTATTTGTACAAGATGAGGCAGAGGATTCAGGGAATGATTTCCTCTCCAGTGAGAGCACGGACAGTAGCATCCCATGGTTCCTCCGGGTTCAAGAGCTGGCTCATGATAGTCTGATTGCTGCTACTCGCGCACAGCTGGCAAAGAGTGCAAAAACCAGCAGCAATGGTGAGACCCCTGTGACGTTTTCACTTCCCGTATTCTCTGTGGGGATTTTGGCAATACAATGACCATATTTTGAGTTGACTGGAATCTGAGTTATTGGTGAGAGCAGACCCCTAGAAATGTGTACACTGTTTGTCTTATTTTCTATGAAATAACTTAGCTATGCCAGATTCATGTGCAAAATCAACAACACTAGCATTCTCAGTTGTCAGCTTTAAATAATGTACACAGCCCCTTTAAAGGGAAAACAAGATGTTATCTTGAATTGTTTTTATTGTACTGTTCCCTATACTTAGAGCTTTTATACCATTATAAAATCAAAACAGTATTACCAATTAATAGGAATAAAACTACAAAACCAGTGAGAATAAAGTTAATATTTTATTTTGGCAGACGATGGTGTTTTGCTGAAACCGCCACTGCTGCCTTTTGTTTTGGAACCAGTTCATCATATGACCTTAAATATCCAAACATTCTGTAGGGCTGTTTCTTTTGAGTTGAGCATGTGGTACTAACTCTGTGCCACTTTTCTCTGTCCAGTAGTTTTCAGGTATAGTCCTCAAATCATCAGCATCACCTAGGAACATAGAAATACAAATTCTCAGGCCTCATCCTACTGAACCAGAAACATGCGATCTTTTAGTAAGCCCTCTCAGTGGTTCCAATACATGTTAAAGCTTGAGGACCATGACTGTAAACCACCTCTAAACCAGTGCACAACCTTTGCTTATGTAACATGCCATAATACTCTTTGTTTTAGAGCTGCTTCTATATTTTCTCTTTAACCTGTGACAGTTAAGGTACTACAAATTATTAAGGTTAAGGTACACACTATCATTGTCACAAACCAAACTTAAGCACTGAAATCTTATGTTGGTACATGGCTGTTTGTAGCTCATCTGGATGATCTAGAATATGCTTATGATTATTTTGTGATTACCATGCAAGTGAAGATAAAAAATTAAAAACTTTTGCAAGGATCCCTGTGAATGTTTCAGAATATTCCAGTTTTAGAAACATTAACCTAAATCTTTTCTACATAGAGAACTCCAAACTTCTTTTTTTTTTAAGTTTTTATTTAAATTCCAGTTAACATACAGCATAATATTAGTTTCAGGTGTATGATATAGTGATTCAACACTAGGTGCTCATCACAAGTGCATTCCTTAATCTCCATCACCTATTTCATCCATCCCTCACCCACCTCCCCTCTGGTGACCATTGGTGTTTTCTATTGGTAAGAGTCTGTTTCTTGGTTTGCCTCTCTTCTTTTTTCCCGTTTGCTCTTTTGTTTCTTAATTCCACCTGTGAGGGGCCCCTGGGTGGCTCAGTCGTTAAGCATCTGCCTTCGGCTCAGGTCATGATCCCAGGGTCCTAACCCCGCATCGGGCTCCCTGCTCCACGAGAAGCCTGCTTCTCCCTCTCCCACTCCCCCTGCCTGTGTTCCCTCTCTCGCTATGTCTCTGTCAAATAAATAAATAAAATCTTTAAAAAAAAAAAATTCCACCTGTGAGTGAGATCATCTGGTATTTGTCCTTCTCTGACGGACTTATTTCACGTAGCATAATAGTTTCTAGCTCCATGCATGTCACTGCAAAGAGAACTCCAGACTTCTTTTTTTTTTACCTTCCTACTTTTTTTTAATTTTTATTTTGTTATGTTAGTCACCATACATTACATCATTAATTTTTGATGTAGTGTTCCATGATTCACTGTTTGCGTATAACACCCGTGCTTCATGCAATACGTGCCCTCAGTACCCATCACCAGGCTAACCCACCCCCCCCAAAACCCTCAGTTTGTTTCTCAGAGTCCATAGTTTCCCCTTCCGACTCCCCCCTTCATTTTTTCCTTCCTACTATCTCCTTTTTTTTTTTTTTAACATATAATGTATTATTTGTTTCAGAGGTACAGGTCTGTGATTCATCAGTCTTAAACAATTCACAGCACTCACCATAGCACACACTCTCCCCAATGTCCATCATCCAGCCCTCCCATTCCTCCCACCCTCCACCACTCCAGTAACCCTCAGTTTGTTTCCTGAGATTAAGAGTCTCTTATGGTTTGTCTCCTTCTCTGGTTTCATCTTGTTTCATTTTTTTCCTCCCTTCCCCTGTGATCCTCTGTCTTGTTTCTCAAACTCCTCCTATCAGTGAGATCATACGATACTTGCCTTTCTCTGATTGACTTATTTCGCTTAGCATAATACTCTCTAGTTCCATCCACGTCGTTGTAAATGGCAAGATTTGGGTTTTTTTTTTTTTTTTGATGGCTGCATAATATTCCATTGTATATATACACCACATCTTCTTTATCCATTCGTCTGTTGATGGACATCTTGGCTCTTTCCATAGTTTGGCTATTGTGGACGTTGCTGCTATAAACATTGGTGTGCACATACCCCTTCGGATCACTACATTTGGTTTTTTTTTTTAAAGATTTTATTTATTTATTTGAGAGAGAGAGGATGAGAGAGCACATGAGAGGGGGGAGGGTCAGAGGGAGAAGCAGGCTCCCCGCCGAGCAGGGAGCCCGACGTGGGACTCGATCCCTGGACTCCAGGATCATGACCTGAGCTGAAGGCAGTCGCTTAACCAACTGAGCCACCCAGGCGCCCCGGATCACTACATTTGTATCTTTGCGGTAAATACCCAGTAGTGCAATTGCTGGGTCATAGGGTAGCTCTATTTTCAACTTTTTGAGGAACCTCCATACTGTTTTCCAGAGTGGCTGCACCAGCTTGCATTCCCACCAAAGTGTAGGAGGGTTCCCCTTTCTCCTCATGAGAACTCCAGACTTCTGTTAGTTTCAACATAATTAGTTCTGCTTTGACTACTGTAATGCTGCTTAGAATGGCCAGTTTTACCATTTTGGGGAGGCTCTAAAGTTCAGATTCTTCCTGAGATGCTTTTGCTAATCTCTGGGTCCTGAAACCGGCAGCATCTCCTCCTTGCATTAAGGAAGCAGTGCGGTATGAGCCAGGAAGAAGCTGGTGCAGGGAGGGAACCTTGGGCTTGGCCTCTGGAGAGCTGGAATCCAGACCTGATGCTGTTATTAACTCATCCTCTGCCTGGGGGACTTAACCTTCTTAGCTGCAGTTTTCTCTTGTTCAGAACACAGAGATCAAGTAGCTTACCTGATTGGGTTGTTTTGGAGATTTAAATAAGATTTTGCCTGGGAAATGCTTTATAATCAGCAAAGCATTGTGTGGATGTTTTTATTACTCTCAGAATATGTTACCTTATTACCAAACAACTACCTCGTATACTTGAATATAAAGTGAGCCCAAATATATGACAGTCTTCTATTTTATCAGTGAGATGATTCCATAAAACCCTTTGAGGGGGCTAACTTAGATATATAAACCGTTAGTCATAGAGATAAAATTAAACACTGTGAGTGGTTTTTTGAAAATGTTATTATTTTGATTACACACACTTTAAATCATGAAATATATTAATATTGCTTTTCACCCACTAACATAACGAAATGATTTTATTTGGTATTTAAATGCATCTTTAACATAAATATCTTTGTTGTTACTAAAGCCATTTTGTGAGTCCGGTAGCAGTTTCTCAGAGCACATCTTCACTTCTATCTAAGCTGATTGAAATACAGATGTATTTAAATTTTGTATATGATGCTTTATGTTATAAGGGGTTAGCAAAGGGCCAGATAACCACCTGTTTTATAAATAAAGTTTTGTTAGAACACAGGCATGCCCACTCATTACAAATTGCCTGGGTGCTACAGTGGCAAAGTTGAGTTGTTGTGACAGAGACCGCATGGTCCTCCAACCAAAAATACTTAGTATCTGGCCCTTTACAGAATAAGTTTACTGACCCATACTATATATGATACTTTCACTGGAAATTTTATCCCAAATGCAAAGACCTCACATAACTGTGGGATCTTTAAAGTGTTTACAGTGTTATCCAATGTGCGCCATGTAAGGTGTTGAATTTCTTTGTCTTTCTCTTTTTTCATGGGGGGAACCAGTTCATCAGATGATCTCTGAATATCCAAAACTATCATTGGTTGATGTCATTTTAAGCTAATCCATCTTCTGCGAACAGTGCTTTGTGTTTTTAAGGGAGTAGTTTCATAAGGACTCAAATACAAGGCAATTCACTGTTTTCTGAGCAGTTTTTAAATTTCATGATTCTGTCAGTGTTCTCATTGTATATACAACATTGAATGCACAAAGTCCCAAATGTCAGCGGTTTAAATTTCTGTATTAGTGTGGGATTTCTACTGATCTTTCATTAAAAATTAATTAGCTGGAGCTCTGGAGTTGGTGGGAAATTTCCTTTATGGTATATACAGTTTTGTACTGTTTAAAATTTACCTATGTGCGGCTGTTTTTCAATTAAATAAAAAAAAAAACTGTGGGACAATATTAAAAAAGAAAAAAATTAATAGCAAAAGGCATCTTAGATTCTACTCTGACCTTGGAGCAATTAGTTTTATGATTAGCATTTGATGACTTGTACAGCAAGGAACATGTAGGACAGGAAGAGATTAAGATTAGTAGACGGGATGGAAACCTTGATCAACTGTCAGGTTCCAGGAAATGTGATGGGCACAACATTTATTGTCCCTATTCTTGGCTTTTGAGAGGGAAATTTGGAAATATAAATCTTATTCCTGAGGTATATGTAGTAGAAAGATAAACTCCATATGCTTGTAGCATAATTAAGTAGTCGTAAATATTTTTCTCTGTTGATATCCAACTATATCTTGAAGAAAATGAAAGAAAAGGAGTACTACCTGTGAATCTGGGATTTATATAAAGCTTTAACTGATTTCACTTAAGTTTAAGGGAGGCACTGCACTACGTGCTCATTTTCTTCCTTCCTTTTGTTCTGTTGAATAAAAAACTTCATGTTATTTCTAGCTTTTAAAAATGTGGTTAGATACTGTAAAATCAGCCGAGTTTTTGTATTCTTTTTTTTTTTTTTTAAAGATTTTATTTATTTATTTGACAGAGAAAGACACAGCGAGAGAGGGAACACAAACGGGGAGTGGGAGAGGGAGAAGCAGACTCCCCGCCAAGCAGGGAGCCCGATGCGGGACTCGATCCCGGGACTCCAGGATCATGACCTGAGCCGAAGGCAGTCGCTTAACCAACTGAGCCACCCAGGCGCCCGAGTTTTTGTATTCTTAAAGAGAAGTGGCACAGGAAATTGGAAGGTTATTCTTATTCTCTAAAATGATAGAAACAGCCAAATTGACCTCAGAAGATAGAAATCTAAGAGTGATCATTTACAAAAGAAATCACAAGCATAAGCCCAGAACTAAGCCAGAATGGCTGCCCCTCCTAAAATAAATACAAGTTCGGTAATACCTGGAACAAGAAGCCATCTTTAGCATCCCACTCTGGGTGTTGACGCATATGCTTCCCTGCCAATTTGTGTAATGCAGGATAGGTTTAACTCTCTTTTTTTTATGTGAAACCATTGTGGACATTTCTTACATTTGCCAAAGAGGCCTGGTCTTGTGAATCGAAGCATGATGGCTTTTGAAAATTCTCTGGAGTAAGGGGATGGGAACAAATTATGTGCTCAGTTGTTAGATGGGTATCAAGAGAGCTAGGGAAGCTGAAGATAGATACCTGCTTATTGATCAGTAGGAGTAAAATATAGGAGCTTTATTGTTTGAAACAAAGTACCTCAGCAGCTTCCTTCCCTGGATTACAAATATGTGACTGTGTTACAGGAGAAAATGTCCACCTCAGTTCTGGTGATGGGCAGCCCAAAGATTCTGGGCCCCTTCCTCAAGTGGAAAAGAAGCTCAAATGTACAGTTGAAGGCTGTGACCGGACCTTTGTGTGGCCAGCTCACTTCAAGTACCATCTCAAAACACATAGGTGAGCATATTTGAGGTTCCATACTTGGAGCTCAAGAATGTTGAAGCTTCTGGAGGAGCTTGTCCCCCATTGACACATTAAAGGAAAGCAGGGGCTCCAGTTCACTTGTGATTAAGATGTCTTTTGTTTTTTAATAGAAGGGTTTGCATTGTCTCATTTACCTCATTCTTCACAAATACTTAGTAAGACATTTGGTACCTAAGCGTCTTAGAACAAGAGTTCTGGAATCTCATTTTAAAATATAATTTCTTGGAAGACTTAAAAAAAATACATAAGCATGGGTGTCACTCATAAACCTGTGAAATCATTTTTCAAGAAGTAAGGTGTGGGGCACCTGGCTGTTGGTAGAGCATGCAACTCTTAATCTTGTGGTCGTGAGTTCAAGCCCCATGTTGGGCGTAGAGATTACTTTAAAAAAAGGGGGTGGGGAGTAAGGCCTGGGGCATCTCTGGTTTTAATAAACTTCAGATGATTCTGGTATATCCAGGTTTGGGAATTACTGTCTGCTTTGAGAGGCAATAGGAGCTTTGATTTGTCCTTTCTAGCAAAGAGCATTTTCAGGTATTGTTGCTTATGTGATTTTTTTTTCCCCCCCCAGAAATGACCGCTCTTTCATCTGTCCTGCAGAAGGTTGTGGGAAAAGCTTCTATGTGCTGCAGAGGCTGAAGGTGCACATGAGGACCCATAATGGGGAGAAGCCCTTTATGTGCCCCGAGTCTAGCTGTGGTAAGCAGTTCACCACAGCTGGAAATCTGAAGAACCACTTGCGCATCCATACAGGTGTGTGCAACCCCAACTTCCCTGTAGGCAATCTACCTCTGGGCTCGGGGTTTGCTCGCCTGTCCTCAGGAAAGGCTCTGACGTGGGAACAGAAATGAAGGTTTAGGCTTGTTGCTAAAACTCTGAAAATGGGATTTCTTTTTTTCACATGCTTCATGGCACTTTTCAGTTAATTCAGTAACATTTATTGACCTTTCACCTGTGTGTGAGGAATGGATAGTGTTGATTTCTGCCTGTAGGAGCCTAAAGTGCAGGAAGGGATATAAGACCTTCTCTGATAACAATGATATGCTGAGATATGGACAAAATCAGTATTTCCAAATGTCTTCGAATGTTACACGATTGTAATTTTGATCAGTAATACTCATTGAATCACACAAACCATACAGAGCCTCTGCTAGCCCCTAAATGGGGTAAGCGGAAGGGGAAATACAAAAGCTAAGATGAATCCCTGACTTTGAGGAGTTTGCTTTTTTGGTGGAGCCTCACAGCATGAGAAGCAGAATGGGAAAGTGACTTGATCTGGGTCAAATAGCGTATTAATATCAAAGGAGCAAAATAAAGATACCCTGACTCTCATTCTAAGAGTGTAAGGTAACTTTCCAAGCCACCTGGCCTAAAATGTGCTAAGTTTCTTGTCAGAGCTTAATCACTGAACCGAGACCAGTCTTAGGATGTGTAACTGTTCTTCCCCACTTTCTTGCCACTTTCTTTGTCTCTCCTTTCTTCTTGCATTGCTAAAATGACAGCAGGTACAATTAAAGGGCATTCAAAAGTGAAACCCAAGCTGAAGCCATTTTGTTCTAGGTACGTCCCTGTGATTCCTGCTAGATTGACATTACCACCGGATATGTTTTAGGGCAGAATAGCTCTGTTCTCAGCTTTTTCCTGAGAGACTAAACTATACTCTCTCCAAGAAGCACTTTGAATAAAAGAACAAGAAAAACATCTAGCAGACTAGATAAGGGAAGAAGTAGAGTTCACCATGCCTTATGGTTGAATTCATTAACCTCTTCATCCTCGTGCTACTCATCCCCTTTGTAGATTGGATAAAATTGAACATCTTAAAATGCTTTCTTTTACTGTGGAGTATGACCTTATTTTCTCTCCTCATTCTAGCTCCTGCTAGCTCTCCCTTGTGAATCTCCTAATTGCTCACCATTTCCAGAACTTGTCGTTTCTCCCGTTTCACTCAGTGTGTCTCTCGCCAGTGTCGGGGCGCAGTGTAATCATTTATCCCTGGATGCCTCACAGATCCCAGTCGCCAGAATTCATATAATAATAAAAGTTAGCATTTATTGAGGCAATTTAGTATGTGTCAAGTACATGTACATTGTCTCTTTTAGTCCTCAACGATACTTATGAATTAGATACTGTATTTATTGGCAAAGAAATAGGGGATTAGAGAGTTAAACAGCTTGCCCAATATTACACAGCTAGGAAATGGCAGAGTTGGGGTTTGAATTCCGGTCAGACCCAAAAGCTCTTACAAGGATTTTGTTTTCAAATGCTGACAGCTCAGTTTATCTTAAATGTCAAAGTGACCGCAGATCTTTATTAGTAGTGACAACAGTAATTAAAGCTCCTGATTTCGGCTTACCATGAGGGCTGACTATGTGCCAGACACCATGCTGAATATATTTAACTTGTGTCTCAGTTCTCACAGTAACCTTTTGAGATTGTATTATGTTAATTTAATTTAAATTTTTTTGAAGATTTATTTATTTTAGAGAGAGAGAGAGCACACTTGAGCGTTGGGGAGGGGCAGAGGGAGAGAAGCAGACTCCCTGCTGAGCAGCATGGGGTGGGGGTGGGGGGCCCTTGATCCCACCACTCTGAAATAATGGTTTGAGCCAAAATCAAGAGTCGGATGCCCAACCCACTGAGCCACCCAGGCACCCCGGAATTCCTCCCTTTTCTAAATATTTATAGCACTTTTTTGTACAGGAATTTATATTAAAGTTATTTATGAATACATTTATCTCTCACACTAGTCTGTGACCCTTAGATAGGAACTGCCATCTCTGATTTTTTTCTCACTTTTTATTTTGAGATTATTACAGTCTCATGAGAAGTTGCGAAAATAGCACAGTTATGTTGTGTGCTTTACCCAGCTTCCCCAAAAAGTGACATCCTCTGTAGCCACAGTACGATATAAAAACCAGAAGGTTAAGAGTACTATCAGTTAGTCTACAGGCCTTATTTAGTTTTTACCATGCATCTTTGATTTAAAATAACAATGTAATATTGTAGGGTGCCTGGGTGGCTCAGCTGGTTAAGCGACTGCCTTCCGCTCGGGTCGTGATCCTGGGGGTCCTGGGATCGAGTCCAGCATTGGGCTTCCCTTGCTCTGCGGGGAGCCTGCTTCTCCCTCTCCCTCTGCCTGCCACTCTCCCTGCTTGTGCTCTTTCTCTGTCAAATAAATAAAATCTTAAAAAAAAACAAACAACAGGGGCGCCTGGGTGGCTCAGTCGTTAAGCGGCTGCCTTTGGCTCGGGTCATGATCCCAGGGTCCTGGGATCGAGCCCCGCATCGGGCTCCCTGCTCTGCGGGAAGCCTGCTTCTCGCTCTCCCACTCCCCCTGCTTGTGTTCCTACTCTCACTATCTCTCTCTCTGTCAAATAAATAAATAAAATCTTAAAAAAATAATTAAATTAAAAAAAACAACAATGTAATATTGTAGACAATAAAAATTACAGAGAAGCACAGAGAAAGGAGATCATCCATAATAGCACTATTCAGGATGTAACTACTTTTAGCATATTGTTATAGATTTTTCTTTATACTTCTGACTGAATATCTGTTTTCATTTGTTTGCTTTAGATAGTGGGACTATGTAAAACCTATTTTATAACCTTTAAAAATCTGTACTTTTTAGTGGATTTAGGAACTGAATCATAAAAAGAATGGTATAAAGTAAAAAATCCTGACAGCATATGTGATGTTAATCTTGATATCCTCAAAAGGGATGGGATCACTGAAGAAGGTGGGTCAGTGTAGCTGGGGGTCAGCCCTTGAGCCAGGAAGGAGAAGGAAGTATGATGCTCAGAGGTAGCCACTCTAAAGAAGAAGGTAGGGCTGTCTGGTGGGCTGTTGGCTAGGAGACCATTGAGAGGTGACACTTACTGGATAGATAGCCCCACTGAAACTACATAGCCCGAATTCAAGAAATCTGAGCAAGTCATTGGAAACTGGATAGGTTAATGGAAAAAGAGAGTAATAGATAGTTCATCAGAAGGCTGACTCTTTATGTCATTTTCTGTCTCTAGGAGAGAAGCCTTTCCTTTGTGAAGCCCAAGGATGTGGCCGTTCCTTTGCTGAGTATTCTAGCCTGCGAAAACACTTGGTGGTTCACTCAGGTACTAGAACCCGTGCCTTTCATAGATTTCAGGGAAGGTAGAGAACCAAAAGGGTAAAAGGGTGGTGGTGGTGGGGAAATGGTATAAAGAAATCTAGAAAGAAACAAACTGTTCAATATAAAGTTTACTTCTCATGACAGAATCAGAAATGAAGGCTCTTGATAATTGGATTAAAAGGGTTGTATAATCAAGGGGGGAAAACCTAATTGCTTTATTCTCAGCTGAGCCATTGATTGAATTGCTTTCTAATCCAGAGCTTTTCTGAGGAGATCAGAAAATTTATTTGGCACTGTGTTGGGTGCTTAATAAGTTACATCAGATATGGGCCATGGAGGTTATTCAAAGCAGAGATTGCCAAGGCAGAAGTGAACTCAAGAGTGGAGAGGGATTCTAGAATGGAATCAAGTAATTGTTCAAATGGTTAGCCATGGGAAGTATAGGGAAGCCAGAACAGGAGGAGTGGAGAGAAGGAACTGGAAGTTATTTGTGATGAGGACAGCAAAGCAGTTCAGTGGGAGCGAGGGAGTTGGAGAGGTGTAAGCAATCAGGGATATGAATTTCAGAGTTGAGCTCTTACTTGATAAGTTCTAAGCAGAAGGTGACAAACTGTTAACCTGTGGGTTAGATGTGGACTTCCAGGTATGTTTTGCTTGGCTTGTAGAGTGTTTTTATTTTATCTTACTTAATTTTATTATATAAAATTATGTCAAACATACATAAGAGTAGAGAAAACAAAGACATTTTCTTACATAACAACAATACTGTTATCATACCTTTCAGAATTAACAATTCTTTAGTTTTATCTCATACCCAGTGCATGTTTAGTTTTTTTGCAGTTGTCTCAAAAATGTCTTTTACAATGGGTTTGTTTAAATCAGGATCCAATAAGGTTTAATTATTGTACTTAGTTTAATTATTATACTTAGTAAGCCTTCTTTAATCTAAATCTGCCTATAGCGACTTTTTTTTTTCATGCCATAGACTTATTGCACTACAGTTAGTTGGGTATTATGGAATGTCCCACATTCTGGATTTGTTGGTTTGCTTCCTTTTATGTTATTTAACTTGTTCCCTTAGATTTCCTATAAATGGAGGTAAGCCCTAAAAGCTTCAAAGGTTCAAAGATTTGGCAAGGATGTGTTATAAATGGTTGTATGTGTTTCATTTTGTATCATCATATCAGGAGGCACGCAGTGCTTGGTTGTCAGAATTTATCAGTGGGTTCAGGTGGTAACACCCTGATCTTCACATTGTTAAGTTCCCTAGCACCTTTTGCCATATGGTTTCATGAGTGATGCCTGAGTTGGTTATTTCATTAGGATTGTAAAATGGTGGTTTTCTAATTCTATCATTCTGTTCACATCAGTTGGAATTCTTCTGTGTATAATAAGTGTCTTCTCTATCCAGTAGGGCTATTAATTTGCACAGGAAAGGCAGGAAAAACGTGTGTTCCTTTTCTTTTCATTTCTTTTAATTATGAATTTTCAAAATAAGAAATTGGTGCTCTTGTTTCTTCTAGTAAATTCATGGGTTTCTATGTAGTCACTGTGTATCAATCCACTGTAGTTCTCTTTGAAAACAGCTTTTTTGATGTATAATGCATATACCTTAAAGTTCATCCATTCTAAGCATACAAATCAGTGATAGAAAATATACAGAATTGTACAGTCATCACCACAATCCAGTTTTAGAACAATTCTGTCATACCAGAAAGTTCTTTTGTGCCCCCTGGTTGTCAGTTCCTGCTCCCACGCCCAGATTCAGGCAACTACTGGTCAGCTTTCTGTCTCTATAGATTTTCCTTTTCTGGAAATTTTCTGGCCATTTCACTTACTTTGGCTACCTACTAATCTCCTATAGGCATGTGTTTCTGACCCCAGCTCCAAGTGTCATTGTCTGAGTAGGTGGAAGAGTGACTGAGAGCTTTGGACTTGAGGACACGGAGGATAGTTCAGATCACAATGTAGAAGAACCACCGGTGTAAACGCTGACAGCTGTGAGAGTGGTGGCAGGAAGTGGGATAAGGGGGTGTTCTGAACCCAGGGTTGGAATCCTTGAGGATGGTACATGTTCTGGAGCTCCATGGAATAATGTATCTGGAAAAGGAAGGAAATATTCTGTGTGGCTGCCATGATCTGATATCAAAGAGGTTGTGAAGGCAGCAGTACAGTGGGTACTGTAAGGATAGGAGCTGGGAGCAATGAGCATACTAAGCCCTGCTGGTGAACTCTTCCTGCCTTCCCTGGTGTATGAAGGTTTTGAGGCTGGGGACCTCCAAGGCTGGGTGGAGAATAGGAGAAGGAAAAGCCTCTTCTGTTTAGTTTAACATTCTCTGAACTTCTCTATCCAGGTCTTGAGTCCATTCTCTTGATGTCAGAAATGTACCCTATTTTTTTTTGGCTACCTTGTCTTAACCTGCTCTCTGTTTCAGGAGAGAAGCCTCATCAGTGTCAAGTCTGTGGGAAGACCTTCTCTCAGAGTGGGAGTAGGAATGTGCACATGAGAAAGCATCATTTGCAGCTGGGAGCAGCTGGGAGTCAAGAGCAGGAGCAAACTGGTGAGGAGAGAAGGTGGAGTGGAGGGCTGTATCTTCTGGGTCCAAAAAGCCAAATAACTGGCCTATCTGGTTATCTGGAAATTTTCAGATTCTGTGTTAGGGAGAGAGACCTAGTCTCATTTGATGGACTAGTGGTTTCCAAATATAGCTCTACAGTAAAATCTGTAAGCTTTTAAAATGTATATATTTGTATTACCTGTCCACCCCTCCCCCCCAAATAAAACAAAACAGTTCAAACTGATAACTGAAATTATTTGAGAGTAAGATCCCAGAATCTGTAGTTTTGGTTTCTGTAGTAAGTGTAATGGTAACTAGTGCTGATCCATGAACCAGCATTTGAGTATTACTGTAATAAAGTCTTCTGTAAGACGAGGGTTTAAACATTTTTTACATATCATTCATGATTCCCTTTTTACCCTAACTTAAATTTGATAACTCGTTTTTATTATTTTTTTTCCATGTCTTTAATCAATTATTTCATTCCATATACTCCTTTCCAAGGATGTATCCTTCCCATTTCATATATTAATTCTCCACATGCTGATCGCAGGCAAGGATATTTATCTATGAAGCTCCACCCTTCCCTTCTAGGTTTATTCTTGCTCCCCAAAAGTAGATAGCATCCAAGATACAGGTTAACTTCCAGTTCTGAAAGGAAAGGCCAGCTTCCTGTGAAGGAAAATGGGGCCCAGGCACAGCCTGGCCTGCAGCGTGTCTCTCACATCCTGTTCTCTGTGCAGCTGAGCCACTAATGGGCAGTAGTTTGCTTGAAGAGGCTTCAGTAACCAGTAAAAACCTGGTGCCTATGAATTCCCAGCCCAGCCTTGGTGGAGAGTCCTTGAACCTACCAAATACCAGTTCTATCCTAGGAGTTGATGATGGTAAGACTTTCAACTCTCCTTTATTTGGGGGAAAATGGGCTGCAACTAGGGACTAAGGAATGGGGTTGTCTCCAAAATGAAGGTTTTAATTAATTTCATTTCTCGTGAGTGGTTGTGGTATGATTGCGTAGCATTTGTGTTCTTTGTCTCTGGGATGGATAAGTGAATCTGTTAAAAAAATATATTTTTTTTGTTGAACAGATGATGTAACGAAAGAATAAAGAGAAAAAAATTTAAGAAGAAAATTATCCATAATCTTAGCATCCTAGCCCAACTATTTCTATCTTTCCTATTGCAGTTATGGAAGAACTTAACTTTTAAAACATTTAAACAGAACATAACCAGGTTTTACAGAGGAGATATAAAGCAATTTCTCCATACCTTCAAAAGCCATATCTTCTGGAGAAAAGAAAGGGCTCTCTAGGAAACAGTTGCTCCTCTCTGGTATAGAAATTTCACCCAAGTTACACAGGCCAGGCCCTCTTCTCTGAAAAACTTAACAGGTGAGGTCAGCATGCATTTATTCAGTGCCTACTGTGTGCCTGGCACCATGTGAAAGATAAAAGTAGAAACCAGGGACCTTAAAATCTAGTTGAGAAGTCAAAACTTACATATGGGAAACAACATTGAGTGAATAGAAGATAGTATGTAAGTAAATGCTAAATTACACAGTACAGTCTGGAAGAGCAGTATCTATTGAAAGCCCCGTAGAAGAAACTTTGATTTATTAGAGGCCTAAGTAGTTTATGTATAAACTATTTCAGAAGATTTTTACAGTGATCCCACTAATGAAGTCCGAGATCCTGTGTTTCAGTTACTCGTATCCCACTCAGTCAGTTTTGTGTATAAGTGACCATGTTTGTGTAAACTTCTGTGCGGAGTCTACACGGCCCAGCATGCTTCCACAAGCCTCCTCGGTTTTGTAATATGATACTAGTGCATAGTTGAAGCATGGGACACAGAAATTGCATGGAACTACTTTGCCATTCTTAAGGGAGAAAGTGTCAAGGGAGGAAGGGACACTGAATAGGAATTTTGAAGCCAGATTTAAGTTCTTAACTTCTGCGTAGTATGCTGTATATCGTTGGTGGCTGCTTTAAGGGTAGGCTCTGGTCCCGGGATCCGCCTGCCTCAGCAGCTTTTGCCCTGTTTCATGCATGGCTAATCCAGCTAACAGTGCTAAAGCCATACTACTCAAAACTGGTATATTGAAAAATGGTCAACTCTTATATATCATTTCTTCCCATCCCCCTTTTGTAATACTCTCCAAATTCACTGGTAATGATGATTATTATCAGACAGGAATTAATTTGGAAGAAATACAGGAATATGGGTTTTTCAGGATGGGAGAGGCTTGATAATGCAGGTGGGTATATCTGTAGATTCATTTTTCGTTGAAACATTCTCTGCTGTTTCAGAGGTGCTTGCTGAAGGATCCCCACGTCCCCTGTCTTCAGTGCCTGATGTGACACATCACTTGGTGACCATGCAGTCAGGGAGGCAGTCATATGAGGTTTCTGTCTTAACTGCCGTAAATCCACAGGAGGTAAATCTGTCTCTTGCCTTTACTTTGTTTCTGTGGAGACTAATGTGGACAGTGGCTGGGAATCTAGTTTTGATGATCTGAAAATTACTCCAATTTCCCTTTCCTGGAAACTTTGTCTAGAATATCTTCCTTTAAGCCAGGCATGAGTCCAGCTTAACTTAAGCTTGATGGTTAGGGTCTCCTGGATTGGGAGATTGGTCACTCACGACTGGGTTTCTCAGCTTTAATTTCCTTTGTATACATACCTTACTGAATGATACCTGCTCCTACTGTTCTCTGCCTAGGACATGAGGATGCTGCTTTTATTTTATAAAGAAAATATCCTGGACAGAGTGGTCCTTGAGCAAAAAAGATAGTGACAAAATCATGGAAAATAATCATTGTTCATTTTATTAGGGTCATATGTCTGGGAGATACCAGGCTGAACCAACTGGGCCTTTAGGGACGTGTTCACTCGCTTGTGGAATGAGAACCATCATCTAAATTGGGGAGAGGTTTTAGGTTGCTTCTAAGCATTCCCAACTCTACGATCTTAGCTCTAACCCAGAAAACAGAATGAAAACCAGTCAGGCTTCTAGAATCTTAGGGTATAGTAGATGACTTCATCATGAGCTCATTTCATATGCATAAACTTTTGCCAAAACCCATGTATCTTGGATGCCTTCATATTATAGTAACTCTTACAGTGCTCTCCCGTCTTTTCCCCTGACCTTTTCATTATAACCTGATACCACAAAATCAGCTGTTCCAGTATTCAGATGATTGCATCCTATATTAAATATTCCGGATTATTCTGTAAGATTCCTGGGGATGCCCAAGATCACAGGGCTCTGGACATGCATGTTAATGATTCTGCCAGAACCTTTCCTTGTATTCATCATTGTGACCCATTGTCTGAGTCTTGCTTATATTATATTCAAAGTTTTTTTGCTATTGATTCTGTTGGTTCTTTGCTAAGCCACCTTCTCCTGGCTACTGTTTGGGAACATATCTCACCTATGAAGACTTCCTTTATTATTTCCCCTCTTCATTTATGTATTTTAAAATTTTTATTATGAGAGTTTTCAAAGAGTATAGTGAGAGAAAGTATAATGAACTCATGTACCTCTCCCCCCAACTTCAACAGTTAACTTTCGACTATTCTCTCTTCCCGCCTACTTCTTACTGTTGCTGTTCTGTTTGTGCTGGAGTATTTAAAAGCACATCACAGACATAACCATTTTATTTGTAGATATTTCAGCACATACCTCTAACAGATAAGTACTTTTTCATAACTATAATGTCTTCATCATACCCAACAGAATTAACAGTCATTTATTGATATCCTCGAATACTTTGTGTTCCTTTTTTATTTTTTCTCAAAATGTCTTTTAATGGTTGGTTGGTTTAAATTAGGATTCAAACAAGGCCCATTCACTGCATTTGGTTAATAATTCTCTTTATCTCTAATAGTCTTCCCCACCCTCCACTCCCTACCCCGTTTTTTCAGAATGACTTAACTATTTAATAAGAATTTCCCACCTTCTAGTTTTGGCTGATTGACTCCTTTTGTTTAATATATTTCTCTATCTACAGATTTCCTAAAAACTGGTAGTTAGGAGCTTAGATTCATGTTCTTTCTGCTTTTATGAACTGTGATTCTTCTGTAAAAGAAATATTTCTCTCATCAACTATTGGATTGCTCTAAAATAGTTCAGAAAAATCATCTCCTTTTTTATCTAGTGGAAATTATCTTGACAAACCAATCCACAACACTCAGGCTTTTCCTTTTTTATATTTGAAACCTTGGAGCTTTTCTCTCCTGTACTGCTAAATACCTTTTTTTTACTGAAGCGTTTCAGGTTTTCTCAAACAAATGCCAGATGTATAAAAACGTAGTCAACAGATACTTCATACCTAATGAAGTGCAAGGCCGTCTGTTGGGTACTAAACCACAGTAAACAAAGTCTCTGCCTCAAAGAGCTTAGTCAGACTTCGGACCTCTGCCTTTTATAACTGTGCAAAATGGTGCCCCTGGAATTGTGCTGTACAGAGAGAATGGGAAGGGTGGCAGATCAATAAATGGGGCAATTTTTTACATAGTGTAGTAAGTACTAGGTAGGGGGAAGTCAGGGAGTAAGTTTTAGAGTTTAAGTTGAGACCCGAGGGATGAATAGCAGTGATCTTGATGGATAAGTGGGAGGGACTGGAAGAAAATAACAGGCAGCAATGAGGACAAGGGCAGAGGTGAGGGAGCAGGGCACAGCTATGGAACCACAGAGGGTTGAGTAAGATGCAATGTGGAATGGAAAGTGAGAGCAGGAAGGATAAGCTGGTTTCTCTCTTGAAGGGCCTTCACTTCAAGGACATGATTTTATCCTGGGGACAGTGGAGAGCCACTGCATGGTATTAAGCCAGGTATGACATGGTCAGATTTGTGTGTGCAAAAAGTCCAGTAATAGCACATTTGTTCCCCTCGGACCTAGGCACATGGGTCTTGGATTCAGGGTGTCCTTGTCTGGGTGATGCTTACTCACAGCCTCAGACAGACACAATACCACAGACCACCTATAAGAAACAAAAGAAAACTCGGCCTTCACCCCAGGAGGACACTAAGGGCATACAGGCCCTAAGCACCCAATTTCATGATGGAAGCCCTAGACACTTCATAGAAAAATATTAACAACACAAAGGGGAAAGTGCTCCCCTTAGTGTAGCTGAAAATCCTAGATGATTACTTTTCCCCTCATGGGTCGTCGCATATTTACAAACACACCCTCTGTCTGAACCTCACTTCTGTGTTTCTTTCACTGTTACCTCTATTATTTTCCTCTTATCACAGGCATTCCCACTGCTCATCCCTCCTTTTCCTTATCATGGCAGGCTTACCACATCCTCTGATACTGTCATTTTTTTAAACCTACAAGCCCCTCAAGGCTCCAGGTTTAGTCCTCTTCCTCATCTAAGCTCCTGGTACTAACTGACTTTCCTCCAGTGACTGAGAAATGTTGATTCCTTAGGGATTCGCAGATAGAAGAAAGCTATTTGCAATCCTTTTTTTTTTTTTAATAATTTTTTAAACAAGATTTTATTTATTTTAGAGGGAGTCAAAGAGAGAGCAGGTGGAGGGGCAAAGTGAGAGAGGGTCTTAAGCAGACTCTTAGCTGAGCTCGGAGACCAATGAGGGGCTTGATCTCACAACCCTGAGATCATGACCTCAGCCAAAACCAAGAGTAGGACGCTTAAGTGACTGTGCCACCCAGATGTCCCGGCTATTTGCAATTCGTAAACCAACACGTCCATTTCAAATTCTGGTTTTGGAGATAATCACACATTGTAGATCAGACCTGTAACCTCTAAGAATTTATTGATGCACTTGCACTTGGACTTCTGTAAATATGCTCTAAAAATAAGCTTATCAAGAATATCGGAGGGGCGCCTGGGTGGCTCCGTCGTTAAGCATCTGCCTTCGGCTCAGGTCATGATCCTCAGGGTCCTGGGATCGAGCCCTACATCGGGCTCCCTGCTCAGCGGGAGGAATCCAGCTCAGCTCCCTCTCCCTCTGCTGCTCCCCCTGCTTGTGTTCTCTCTGTGTCTGTCTCTCTTTGTCAAATAAATAAAATCTCTAAAAAAAAAAAAGTAACATCAGAGAATAACCAAAGCAAGTATCAGAAATTATCATGGGAGGGGCACCTCGCTGGCTTAGGTCGGTAGAGTATGGGACTCTTGATCTCAGGGTGGTGAGTTTGAGCCCCATGTTGGGTTGTAGAGATTACTTAAAAAATAAACAACGATGTGGATGGAACTGGAGAGTGTTATGCTGAGCGAAATAAGTCAATCAGAGAAAGACATGTATCATATGACCTCACTGATATGAGGAATT